TTAGGTTGCTTCCATATCTTGGCTATTGTAAATAGTGCAGCGATAAACATAGGGGTGCATCTGTCTTTTTCAAACTGGAGTGCTGCATTCTTAGGGTAAATTCCTAGAGGTGGAATTCCTGGGTCAAATGGTATTTCTATTTTGAGCTTTTTGAGAAACCTCCATACTGCTTTCCACAATGGTTGAACTAATTTACATTCCCACCAGCAGTGTAGGAGGGTTCCCCTTTCTCCACAACCTTGCCAACATTTACTGTTGTTTGTCTTTTCGATGATGGCGATCCTTACTGGTGTGAGGTGATATCTCATTGTGGTTTTAATTTGCATTTCTATGATGATTAGTGATGTTAACCACTGACTTTATAATATATGTTTCAGGATGCATTCATGTCTTTAGGGTTTTCTTTCTTTTCTTGGTGGTGAGTGAGGCACAGAAATCTATGTTCAGAAATCTAAAGTCACTCTTAGATTTCTAAGAAGTGAAAGGCTCAGAAATCTAAGGTCACTCTTGTTTTTCCATTAACAACTTGGTAGCTAAGGCTGCCCCTGTGCCTTAGCAGTAGGGTATCAAGGATGAGAAGGCTCAGTCCTTTAGGCAGGGTAACGGGAGTGCCTGGGAGTGGAGGAAGGACTCCCAGTCCTATAAACACCAACTGGTGAAAGAGATGTAGGCATGTTGGGCCTAGGAGCATCATGGAAACTGTAGGATTTGGAGCCATCTAGGTTTTCTAGATAAGTGTCCTCCTTAAGTCATTTAATTCTCTCTGCCTCAGTTAGTGACCCAGCAGGGTTCTTGTAAAGATTTGCAGTGTGATATAGAAAACTAGCTGGTGTGTGGAACTAATGCGGGAGATGGTGATTGCCATCATTTAGAGCAGAATTCTAAATAAAAACAGATACTATGACTCATTGTTTTGGGACTATGCTTTTTAAAGTCTCTGAATCCACTCCTACCACATAAATTCTTGCACTAACATGAGTAATAGAGCCAGCATGCTGGAGGGCTGGTTTGTTCCAAAACCCAGTCTTTGTGAAAAATCTGTCTGCTCCAAAGATAGGTATTTGATATGTTTGTCTAGACCACTGGGATTCACCGTGGAATTAGGGAAAATTGGATCTCAGCTCCTATCATGAAAATCAGCTAACTGCATGTTTCATAAATGTACCCAGGGGTCCAGTGATGTCCACAGTATGCACATCAGTAATAACTGGTCTTAACAGGGACAATGTGACATTTTAAAAAAGGCACAGTGTTAGACTTATTGACTTGAAAAATTAATCTGGCCACATATGGGGCTTGTGGAGGTCTCTGCAATGAACACTGAGCATATTCTTTATAGTGAGATTAGAGGTCCAATTGTGTAAACACACACCTCTTACTTAGTTCCTTTTGTCCCTCTCTTCTTTCCATTCTTCTTTTTTTTCCTTCTTTCTCTACTATATTTTATTTCTGTGACTTGTGAGTATACTCTGCCCCCTCACAAGCACAGGAAGGAAAGCCCACTAAGCTTAAGTGCCAGGTGCACGGGGTGGGTGGCGGAGGGAGTGGGGGTGCTGCAAACCTGTGCTGGGGACATCACTGCAGTGCTATTAGCACTGGAGGCATGTGAGAGGCTAAGGTGGTGGCTCGTCTTTTCCACTGGGCCACAAGAGCCACAAATCCAACTGACATTACCAGACAACCCAGAGAGACAGGACAGTCATCTGGTAAACCCTCCTGCCTATTTCCCAAACCCCAAATGCGTGACGACTATTTATCAACTATGTGAATGAGATCCCTACTTCTGCAAAGGAGAATGCAACAATGGCACGTTGCACCTGCAGATTTTAAATTTCTAACTCTGAATGCAGCTGGAGTCACACAGAACTTATCTTAGACCCTATAGTAAGAAATAGTTGAAGAGAAACCAGTTTAGAAGTTGTTTCTTGAGAATGGCTCATTCCCCTTACCGTTTTTATATTTTGCAAGTTGTATGCTCTTTTAACTATAAGGTTTTATTCTTTCTACTTAGTCCTTTAAAATCACAGGAGATACACATTAGCCAGAAGTTACTAACTCAATAACTTGAGGGTTAATTCTTCACAGAATTATGGTATAAATAGGGAAAAGCTTAAAAATTTTTTCTCTCTCTACATCTATACAAATGATGGGAAACACATTCATTTTGTGGTAACAAAGGGCAATAGGTCCTCCAAATATTTTGTAATATTTGACTTCCTTTCTGGTCCATAGGTTACTTAGCAATGTGCTAAATTTCCAAATACTTGGAGATTTTCTGGATATTGTATTGGCGTTGGTTTCTAATTTAATTCCATGGCCATCAGAGAGCATATTCTCAGAAGCTTACTTATCTCTCTTGGTGAGTATTTCATGTGCCACTAAAAGAATGTCTGTTTTGTCATTATTACCACGGTCATATACATTGAATTGTTTGATGTTGTTGTTTAAAACTTCCTGATTCTGATTAAAAAAAATTTTTTTTGTCTAGTTCTATCATTTATTGAGAGAGAGATATTGAATCTCCACTCAGGACTGCGGGTTCATGTCTACTTGACTGTAGCTCTGTTAGCTTTTGGGGCAAGTCAGTCTGCAGTTTGGAATACAGTGACCTGGAGACCAGAAGGAGAGAAATGACCTTGGCCTTTGCTGGCCTCAAGGACAACACAGGACTTGATCATGACCAGGAAGGAGAGTAAGATTAGGAGAAGTTGAAGTGCAAGGAAAGGCCAAATCAAGTCCAAGAACATAATATGCAAAGTGGCTGAGTTAAAATGTAGATGGAACATTCTGGGGGCAACATACGGAGTGGCTGACAGCTCCCCCACTGGGAACTGGACTCTTGGTGAATCTGGAGTCAGTGTGAAGACAGAAGCTCATTGCTCAAGCCTCCCTGTCACATGGGCCGTGTGGGCTAGAGCACGGAGAGCTACAGAATGTTCTAGTGTGTGTGTGCAGAGTGTCGGGGAAGCCAGGGTGTGATCAGAAAACTTTTCTAGTAAATTGACTTTTGGTATCTCATCAGAAAGGCTCTGAATCTCCAATCTAATAATTTGTTATGTTTTTTACTTTCCATTCACATCTAGTTTTGTTTTTATGATTTTATGGGGTCTTTTTGTAAAGAGAGTTCCCCAAATTATATAAGAGATTCAGGTCCCACAAAGCCTGGAGTCACTCTACCCTCCTCCACAACCTACCAGCTATGCACCCATTGGCGAACTGTTAAGCTATCTGGCCCATGTTTCTTCATCAATATAATGAGGCAAATAATAGTATCTACTTCACAGGTTTTTGGAGGGATAAAAGTAAATGAGTTATAATGCACGAAGCCATTTACAACACTGCTGGGTGTACAGTAAAACTAACTTACGTGTTATTTAAATAAAAAGAAACAAAATAAACAGGCATTAAGCCTTGGGGTAGACCAGATTAGGATTCTAGCTTTGACCAGTGTGCTTTGAGTCTCAGTTTTCTCATTTGGAAAATTGGGATGTTAGGATGTCCAAGCTCTTAAAATTCCATTGACCTGGTGAATTCCGTTGTCTGACTCGCTCAGAGGTCACTTCTCATGACTCCAGAGCTAGCTGCTCTCCATCTGCCCTGAACGGAAAATTTTAGCACAAATAAATATGTTGCAAAATCATTGCATTCTGTATTTCAAAGCAAAATTTCGATTTAAAAAATACCCCTATATGTGTCTTGACTTTATTAAGATTAATTAAGGAGGATCTGGTTACATTTTGTTCTTTCTTACTGACTGCTAACTGGGTTTGGAGTTAGTAAAAATGTTTGGCTTGACTGTAAATAGGATATTTATAAATGTGTATATGTGGGTATGCAATGTACAAATATACAAATTTTTCATTTCTAACAAGCCACATAGATGCACACATGATATTATTCTCTCTGTGTGTCAGATCTTTTATGGAGTTTTGACTAATTTGGATATCTCAAAGTGTTGGGACTGGCTTGGGTATGATATTTAATTTTTCATGAGAATGGCATCTAATTTTAACACAATTTCCAAAGTTGAGATAATTCTAGTCAATAAACACATCACTCTTTACTTTCTAATGATCAGTTGATTGAAGTTCTGCTTCCATGTTTCAGTGCCATCTTTACAATATCCCCTTTCCTGAAAATATTGCCCTATGCCTGAGAGCGCATGTGTACAAGACAGAGATTTCAGTGGAAGTAATCACGAGGCAGTGGTGCAGGCCACTTGAATGTCAGATATGTCCTGCATGTCACGCTTTAGCACCAGCTAGATGCTTCTGTCCTTCAGACTACTAATGGTTCTTTAATATGTCAGATATGGATGCCAATAAGTAGGCTTGAATGTTGCTTCTGTTTTAAAGGAAAAGAACATGAAGGATTTGACAGCTAAGCTTTCAGTTACATTACTGATAACAAATTTGCTTAGTCACAAAGTCTAGAATCTCTTTATAGAGCTGAAAACAATAACACTATTGAATCCCTGTACAAAGTATATATAGTATAGTATAACAGAATGCTTACTTGAATTTTGTAAGTGCTGACTTTAATTAATACAGCATTTATATGGGCCTCGGTGTTCTGATCCCAAAAAAATCACCTCCCTAATAGTGTTGTGCTATCGATGATTTTTTATAGTTTGCACCAGCCAGGGAAAGATTGCAGATAAAAGGCAAGAATAGTCATGACATGGAAAGTGTAAAAATTGAGAATTCCTGGAAATGATTTTAAGTGCATAGTTTTCAAGTTAAACAAAGATAACCTGAAAACTCCTATGTGTGGCACTTTATAGTCAACAACCTGTTTGCCCTATTTGATTCTTGAATGGTAACACTGGGTTATTGATTAAGGAACAATAATCCCATCTTGTAGGTCATACATACGAAGTTCTGAAATATACCAGTGTCTGAGCTAACATGCACCTCCAAGTCTTTAGAGTCCAAATCTGGTGCCTTTTGCTCTAAGATGCTCCAAGTGTCATGGGATGCCAAAGAAGTGATTTTGATCTCTGCCACATAGTTTGTATCCCTCATCATCCCTCACTGGGGAATTACAGACATTTACTGTCTTTCAAGGCTTTGAGAACCTGAATAACAAGTGTGGTGCAACTGCCAAGTACTGAGTATCTTTCTTACCTATAGCACATCATGTTATAGTCTTGATGTAATGAAATGCTCAAGGGCTGCATCCTATACATTTAATAGAGAATGGATAACCATTATAAACAGACGTTTATCCACTTGGACTTGTACCAAGAGCTCTCTAGTGGTGTGTTTATTGAGATGCTCTGATAGAGTGAAATTCATCCAACAGTCCCTCGGGCTTTGCCAGCCATAGTCCACATGGCCTGTGGAGCCAACCGGAGGGCATGGTGAGGCCTCCCAAATGGTGCTCTTGGGGAAAGGGAGACTGAAGAACATAAAAATCTAAACTGAAAATGTTTAAGGACATTTTAAAAGACATTTAAGCATTAGTGTATGAGACATCTGACTGTGTGCATAAGTTATCCCATATGCATTTGTGTGTATTAGTATTAATTATTGAAAATTAATTAAGATCTATGAATAAGAACTGGAAGATCTATTCTTTTTTTGTCATCATTAATCTACAATTACATGAAGAACATTATGTTTACTAGGGTCCCTCCTTCACCAAGTCCCCCCCACAAACCCCATTACAGTCACTGTCATCAGCATAGTAAGATGCTGTAAAATCACTACTTGTCTTCTCTGTGTTGCACAGCCCTCCCCGTGCTCCCCCCTCCACACTATACATGCTAATGGTAATGCCCTCTTTCTTTTTCCCTGCCCTTATCCCTCCCTTCCCTCCCATTCTCCCCAGTCCCTTTCCCTTTGGTAACTGTTAGTCCATTCTTGGGTTCTGTGATTCTGCTGCTGTTTTGTTCCTTCAGCATTTCTTTGTTCTTATACTCCACGTATGAGTGAAATCATTATACAGGGCAAGTACCTCAACATAATAAAGGCCATATATGATAAACCCACAGCTAACATCATACTGAACAGCGAGAAGCTGAAAGCTTTTCCTGAAATTGAGAACAAGACAGGGATGCCCACTCTCCTCACTGTTATTCAACATAGTACTGGAGGTCCTAGCCACAGCAATTAGACAAAACAAAGAAATACAGGGAATCCAGATTGGTAAAGAAGAAGTTAAACTGTCACTATTTGCAGATGACATGATATTGTACATAAAAAACCTTAAAGACTCCACTCCAAAACTACTAGAACTGATATCGGAACACAGAAAAGTTGCAGGATACAAAATTAACACACAGAAATCTGTGGCTTTCCTATACACCAACAATGAGCCAACAGGAAGAGAAATCAGGAAAACAATTCCATTTGCAATTGCATCAGAAAGAATAAAATACCTAGGAATAAACCTAACCAAAGAAGTGAAAGACCTATACCCTAAAAACTACAAGACACTCTTAAGAGAAATTAAAGGGGACACTAACAAATGGAAATTCATCCCATGGAAAATCTATTCTTATTTGCACATTTGCTATTACATAACCTTGCTGATATACAAACAAACACACGAGGGAAGCTAACATTCATCAAGCAGCTACTATTTAACAGATTCTTTATTTACATTATCTCAATCACCAGGACAACTCATTGAGATAGTTATTGTTATAGACATTTCAAAGATGAGGAAACTGAGTTCAGAGAGTTTAAGGAATGTGCCATTGGTGACACAGCTATTACATGGCAAAGCCAGTACATGGCAGGACTATTACATGGCAAAGCTGACTTAAATGAAAGCCCAAACATTGTAGTTATTGAATGTCATTTTCCCCATGGTGGATTTATATACAAGAGAGTTACATTTCCAGACAGGGGTTCACTCTGAATCTACAGTTTCAGAAAAACGGCAATTCAGGAGAAAGAGTAAGTTTGCATGTAGATCAGGACATGATCAATCTCAAAATAATGTGTAAAAAAAGGCAGTGATTTCTGTGGACATCAGTTCAAATAATCCTTCAGAGAGGGGTTCTCTACCCCTAAATCATTCTAACAATTCCTCCCAACACAAAGTAAGAAGTGACTTAATGTACCTCATAGTAAATAGCTTTTCATTCATCCCTATTTTTAAAAATAGCATCCTATGAAAAGTGTACTGTTACTTAATATAAAAGATTGGAATCAGTTCATTTTGCATTTCATGACATTTTAGGGATTTTTGATAAACAATCAATGGTTCCCCCACTAGGATTGTCATTTTTAAGTAGTCATCATCAATTTTTCTTACTTTGAAAGTTTGTCAGTGGAAAGTGTTGATCAAGTTGTAGTAAGTTGTTAAGAATATTAAGAGAGAAGAGATGTTTTTGGGAAAATTAATTGGGTGTATGTTATTGGGATTTCTTCACTTTGAGAAAATTC